TTATTATTATGGAAGTGTCTAGGAAGACCCCAAATGGGGAGCACCTTACATAGCCACCATGGCTCCCGTAGACCCCAATCTACATTCAAGGATGTCACTCACTACAAATAAAAACAGCTGCTCACAGCAGCAGCAACAACAACAACAACAACAACAACAACAACAATCGCTCACGTGTTTGTCGTCACTCTTATAAAAGCAGTTGTGGAAAATTCAGGAAACGTAGCTCTGTATCAACTAATCCAAAATGTATTTTAATGGTTGCTTCCCTTGAAGAGGTTCTCGTACTACTCTCGTTTTTGAAATATTATTGTTGATGACTTTGGCGTATTCTTTTTTAATCTCTCAGTAAAAAATATACTATGTAGTATTAACAACTCTGGTACATGTACTACCAGAGAGTCTTTTCAGCAACAATTCAGCCCGACACCGTACACCTTCGTAGACATCAGCATTACACTGTACATCGTCCTACAGATCGTTACCATACTGTGTATACCGACCCGACATAGTTAATTGTATGTCGGCCCGACATTGCCTCTCTACGGTAGTCTGACATCGGTGCCATAATATGTCGTCCCGACATTATGATCTTACATCGGCTGGACATTGGTATCTAACGTCAGACCGACATTGGTTTCTTACGTTGGCATGATATTGTCTTCTTGCACCGGCCCGACATTGGTTTTCACCATCGACCAGACACTGGTTTCCGACGTCTGTCCGATATTGGTCTGCAATAGCGGCCCGACACTGGCTACCCACGACAGCCCGACATTGACTTCCTACGTCGGCTCGACACTGTTTGGCGGGAGAATGGTATCTAGAGATAAATTATCTAGGCTAGCTATGATCTAGAGTAGATCTAAAAGAATGTCCATTTAGATCTAGATTCACTTCCACACTGGCCGTCATGTTAAACAAACGGGTCTGCAATTGTACAGGAGTGCCGTAACTTGTGTTTTAAGTAGATCTAGATATAGATGTAGATTCTAGATATAGACTGGTGTATTGCAAACTTAGGTTTTGGATCTAGATCTAGATCTAGTATCTGGAGATAAGTTTCTTTGGTTCAGATCAATCTAGAATAATCTAGATTCTAGGTAGAACTAATTCAGTGCTAATCTCCCAGCCAAGATCTAGAAAACAATGCATGCTAGGTTTTTAGATCTAGATTTCTAGATCTAGATATCACAATGATGATGATGATGATGATGATGATGATGATGATGATGATGATGATGATGAT